AGGGGGCAGATTTGAAGCGGGCCCCACCCTAGGCAGTAAGCAGGTGACTTGTGGTTTTTAAAGAATAAAAACCGAGGACCCCTGTCTTTAAAGGCAAGTTGAGGCAAGGAGGTTGGGCAGACCCCGCCCCTCCAAAGGGAAGACGTCGAGACCGGGTCCAAGGTCTGGACCCGGGATAAAGAACATCCACTAAGTTCTGAGAAAGGCCTCCACCCGCCTGGAGGGGTGCCTAAGATTGCATTCCCACCTGAATGGGGCCTCTCGCCCCGCGCGTGGCTGGACAATCCGGTGCCCAGTGAGGAGACGCGCAATGTTAGCAGGGAGGGCACACAGGGCAGGGATGATGTTATCCACACAGATGCGGTCGAGGACTTGGGGCGCCCGGTTTCTGGGAAGGGCAGGGGTTGCGGAGGGTCCAGCGCAGGAGTAGCAGCTCTGGGTTGGAGGGTGCGGCCGCGAAGGGACTAAAGGGGAGAGAGGTGCTGAGCAAGGGGAAGGTCCGAAAGAGGAGCAGTGGCGCGAAGTGCAGCAGAGACCCGGGAGCGACCGGCGGACCCCGACCCAGAGCCCCCACCCCACCTCCCGGCTCTGCCCCGCTGGGCCTACTGCCCGCCACGCCGCCGCCACCGCCAAGTTCCTCCAACTTTGCCCGCTGCGCTCTCCAGCTCGCCGGGCTCTGGGCGCACTAGGGCTGGGGGCGCACAGAGCGCGGGCCGGGGCGGAGGTGGCGGGAGCCCCGCAGGCTGCCTCCGGCACCCCCAGGCGCCAGCCCCGCTAGGACTCGGGCTCCGCGAGCCCCGCGCTTACCTGGCCGCCCCGCCGCGGTTCCGGGCTGCGCCGGCCGCCGCCGCCGCCGCCGCCGCCGTCCTTCAAGCTCTAACTTCGCTCCGGGGATTGAAATTCCTCCCCAGCTTCGCCCATCGATCCGCGCGCGCGGCCCCGCCCCTCGCCTCGCGGGCAGGGGGAGCTGCCTCCCGCCCGCCCTCCCCCGGCTCGCCCGCCCTCCCCCTCGGCGCCTGCCAGTTCCCTCCCTCCCTGCCTCCCACCCACCCGGCTCCCAGCTCCAGTCCGGCTCGAATCTCTGGCCCTCGCCCTCTCCTCCTCGCCAGCCCCCTCAGCTCTCCCGGCTCTGGACGCCGTCGCGCTCCTCTCTGCCGCGGCTGAGCCGGGAGGAATCGGACAGGGGGAGGGGAGGGGCAGAAAGAGGGGGAGGTACTAGAAAGCGCCGGAGGTGGAGGGTGGGGGCAGTTCCTAGCGAACTACTCCCCGGACATTTCCACCCCCAACTAAGTATAGGGAGAGCCCGGGGGACACTTAGGTGGGTGGAGAGTGCGCCACCCACGACCCCCACCTTATTAAGCAAAGCCAAGGCGTTCTTAGGTCCTCAGACCCTGGTGGGCCAGTCAGTGCCGCCCTCAGGGGCGAAGGCAGGATCCAGGGCCAAGAACGCGAGGGGAGGAGATTGGATGAGTACTGCGGCCACCCCTCCCCAGGTCTGACCCCTTCCCTTCTCTCTCGGGGTGACGAGGGTATAGGGAGGGCGGGATTGGGGGTGGGGGGGTAGGCGGGTAATACTCCCGCTTAGTGTGACCCTCACAAACTGTGGGGAAGCGTCCCTTTCCGTGAGTTACAAGCGAGGAAACTGAGTCAAGTCAGGCCCCAGAGGCCTGCCCCGCACCACACAGCCCGTCCAAAGGGAAGCCCAACGGCTACCGCTACCCCCAGGACGGAGCGCTCCGGACTCCTCTCCGGACAGGCCAGTAGTGCCCTAGCCAGCTCAGGTTCGGGTGGGGACCGCGCCTCAGTGCCGCTAGTGTCCCCGCACAGCCCGGCCTGCCGCCCCGCGCCCCCTCCCTGCTTCCTGTCCCCCGCCCGCCTGCGATTCCCAGCCTCAGCACCCCCGGCACGCTCTGCGCTCCCCGCCAGCAGCTGGGCAATTCACCGAGCATACAAAAGAGTTGACTCAATTCAAAGGCTGCAAATCAAGATAAATCCTATAGTGTGTGGGACCGGAGAGAGAATGTGAATGAACGCCCACAGCACAAGCGACTTCTATATGGACTGGCAAAGCCCCCACACCAACAGCAAGCCTGGGCTCAGAAGGTTGGCCAGAAAGGGGGGAGGGCACAGGGGCGCCAGGGGTCGCAGCTGTCTTCACCCGTCTGGCTGGGATTTACCAAGTGCTGCTTTGTGGCCCCCTCCTGCCTTCCAGGTCTCACACGTTCTGGGGCAGTGTGCCCAGACACCTCTCCCAGCTCCAGGAGGTGAGGTTCGGGGCAGCCTCAGTTGGGCCATTGGGGCATCTGAGTTGTAGCCTTTGCCTCTCGAGCTTCCCCTTACTGGACCCCTGTCACAGCAGGCTGCAGGCCAGACTGGCCCTTGTTTATCCTCCAGATACTGCAAGCTTCCCATTCACCATGCCTGGGCTGGATGGTGAGGCAAGAGGACTCCTGCTTTAGGAAAGGCCTCCCCAACTGGAATCTAGCTGAAAGATGCTTGCCAGCCTCCCCCAAACTCCTCCTCAATCTTGGAAGTTCCAAGAAAACAACCTTCCACCCTCTGGCCTTACCTGGCCTGTGTGGGGAATGTATAAGAGAGACTGGCACCCCAGCTGGGCCTTTCCCAAGTAAGCCCCTACCAGAGGTGACAAACTCCCTCTTCCCAACTGCTCTCCCCCCATGTTGGCAAAGAGGAGCTCTGCCTCTGGAGTGTCTGGATTAGCTTTGACTGGCGTCTGTTGTGCCACGGGCTGAGCCATGCTCCTGCCTAAAGTTACATCACCTGCTACCAGCTACTCCCCAAGCACAGGGCTATGAGCCCATTTCTGTGGTGTTTAAGCTGAGGCAGGCTGGCTGTCTTAGAGCTCTGGACAGGCACTGCCCCAGGAACCAAGAAGTTTGTTGGTGTCCAAGGACAGGGTTCTGGGAAGGGGCTTAGAGGTCAACTGGAGGGTCAGCTTATGTAAATATTCCAGCAAGAAGGGTCCCAGCAACTGGGGGATCCTTGAGAGAGGATGTGTGGGGGAGGGGAAGGGAAAGTAGCACAGAGTTGGGGCACAGGGAATTGGAAGCTGGGTGAAGCGTCTGGGAGTCGGGGTACTACTGACTGCACCCCAACCCAAAGCAGAGGCTGTGCGGTCAGGCTGCGACCTCCGCGGGAGTCTCGGCTGGGTTGCCCCTCCCCCGTGGCCGCGCCGATTGGCGGCCTGCGTGTAAGTCATTAATTCTGTTACTGAGAATCAGCGCCGCCGCCGCGAGGACATCCGTCAGGGACCCAATGCCGAGCTCCACGCCCCCTACTCCACCCCCAGACCCAGAGAGGAAAGGATGAGACATCTGTCTCTCCAGAGCTCCTAGATTGTTCCAGCGCTGCTGGAGAGCGCTGGAGGAGCTTGGGGTCCCGGAGTTAACCGAGAGGGGGCGGGGCCGGAGGTCAGCCCTGGGGACAAAGACCCCCACGCAGCTTGGGGGCGGGGCTCTGCGGAGTGGGAGACAGGAAGTACCCCGAATCCTCCAACTCTCAAATTCTCAAGTCTACTCAAGCTCCGATCTGAATGGTGGGGTGGCGTGGAAGGAGGAAACGCAATCCTCCGGGGCCTTCCCGGTGCAGAAAAGATGCTGGAAGGGGGCTTCCAGAATATTGCCTCCTCTCTGCACACGCAGCCGTAGCTGCACTCCCTCTAGAGAACCCTCTGCTCTCCACACCTCCGTCGGCTGCCTGCAGCGACCACCCCATTGCCCACTGCCCTCTCTGATGGGAGGGAAACCCGACACAAGGACAGGTGAATGAATATGTAGTATCCATGTGCAGATTGGGAGGAAGAGAAGCTGATGGAAGGAAATTCCGCTCAAGCACGGACTGTCTGGTCGTAGGGACCCTCGCAGCCATAGAGGAGTATTCGATTGGCGACTGTGCTCAAATCCGGCCACTCTGACCGGACGCCTGACTGACAGAGTGGCCACAGGCCGCCCCGTGCAGTTCGGAAAGAGAAAAAGTTGGGGGTGACACCCCGGAGAACTGAGAGGAGAGCGTGGGAAGAGTGCAAGGAGTGTGGTGGAAAGAGCGATAGCACCGGGACCACGACAACTGGGGAGGGGGTCAGCTCTGGACCCGGGGTCCTGCTCCACCCCAAAGCCAAGCCCAGTTTCCCGGCTTCCCTAGCGGGGAGAGGTTCGGATCACAGGCGCCTATTAATAGCCCGGAGCCGGGTTCTTCCGAGAGCTCGGAAGCAGCGGGCAGAGCCTGGCGAAGGGATGTGTGTGTGTGTGTGTGTGTGTGTGTGTGTGTGTGTGTGTGTGTGTGTGTTGGGAGTGGGGGTTCCTATAACACCCATTCCACGGCCTCCTGGCGGCGCGCGGGGCAAAGCTCTGCTTCCCCACCCCACCCCCATGCCAGCTGTGCGAAGGTTAGGTACTCATAGTCCACTCCCTGACCACACTCGACTATAAGATGGGGTTCCAGATGGCGAGGGCAGTCTCCAGGTCAACCTGGGGCACCACGGCCATCACCGTACACTGGCAACCAAGCCATTGCCTTCCCCCACTTCCTGCCCAGCCAGCCTTTCGCTCTTAGAGAGCTCAGGAAAGTTTTGGGGTCCCCGCGGCACCTTCTAGCCGGAAGGGTCCGGATCCCCAGCTCTTCGGGCCAAGGCGTCAGAGAAGGAAGTTTGTCCGGCTGGGGCTCTGCAACCGTTAACTTCGGGTGCGCCCGCCTCTGAACCCGGGTGGGTGTGGGGGCACCAGGGCACCGAGGAACGAAAGCACAGAAACCAAAACCTCACGGGCTGGGGGGGTCTCGGCCCAGGGCGGACGCCGGGAGCAGAATACTCGGGTTGCAAGAGTCTCTAGGGACTCGGCGTCCGCCCCCAATGCCGCCGCGGGAGAGCATCTTGCCCGCCTCCCACAGGGGCGGGGACCCAGTGGCCTAGCAGCTGCGGCAGTGGGGACCCCCGCCCGCAGCAGCCCCCGCGCAACCCCCTCCTCCCACACACCCCTTCCTACCTGGCTGGGGTGCGGGCCGGGGGCTGAAGGCACCACCACCCGCGAGCGGAGAGCGCGCGCCCAGGTCCTCGCAGAGCGGCGGCGGCGGCGGCGGCGGCTTCCCCTCCTTCCTCCTCTTCCTCCTCCAGGCTCGCCGGCTCCAGACAGCACTCCTCCCCCTCCCGCCCTGCCTGCCCCTCCCGGAGCCCTCCCGGCTGGACTCGGCCTGCGCCGGGGAGCCGAGCGGGGCCGGCAGGAGCCGGGTTGCGGTGCTCACTGCGTCAAGCGCTGGGCGAGCGCGGGGCGGCGGCGGGTTCCGCGCACTCGGAGCCCGGGGCCAGCGGGGCAGGCGGGGCAGCGGCGGCGCTGGCGACGCCGAGGTGCGGGGCGGCTCCGGCTCCTGCTCTTGCTCTGGCGCGGGCTTGGTGGCGGCGGCCGCGGCAGCGCCGAGGTTGTAGCACATTCTTTCTGTGTGCGGTCGAGGGCTGCATGTAGGAACCGGAGCGGGGAGGGCTGGAGGAGGGGGCGGGGGACGCGGACGGGGGCAGCCAGAGAGGCGCGCAGCCGGTCTCGCTCCCGCACGTCGGTGCACGGGGAGGGGTGAGGTCCGGCGGGTGACATTGGAGAAGTCAAAGCGTGCCGTGGGGGCGGTGTGGGCAGCCCAAAACTAGCCTGGTCCTCCCCTCCGAGCCCTCCCCACGTGCCCGCTGCACTCGCCGCGGGACACTATTTGGGGTAGAAAGCCCCGAAGGTTCGGGAATCCAGACGACGGGATGGCGACGGGAGGTGGGACTCCCGGAGAGGAGATGTGCACGCGCGTGCGGACATACACACGCGTGTGCGTACACACGAGGAACTGCGTGAAAGTTGACCCGAAGTCAGTCCCTGAGAGGGTGCGCGCGTCCGCGAGTGCAAAAGCACAGCCAGCAAGGGCGCGGCCGCTCGGGGAGGGGAACGCGGAGGGCTGGGCACGTGTGGGCAAAGGAAAGAGATCAAACTCGCCCTAGCGGACTTTCCTTCCCCCACATTATTGACCCCACCATCACCACTACCCTTCCATTTCTAGGTTCCCCCGCCTCCACCCCTCCCCCCCCCCCCAGCCCCCCTGTTTAGACTGAGAGTAAGAAAGGGGCGTGGGCTCAGCCAAGCCCTTCGACTCCCCAAGGTTCGTTTAAGAGGATTTTCCTTCGACCAGTCCCCCTTCCTCTTCATTCGCCTCCCGAATTCTCTGGGATATGGAATCTCTCGGTCGACTCTAGAGCAAGTTCCATAGCCCCCCAAGTCTCCCCTTGCCTTCTGAACTGCTACACCGCTTCGCGGGGTAACTCTTACTCCCTACCTTACCCCAGCCTGCGGCTTTCAGCTGGGATAAAATTCCAAATCAGGCTCAAGAGCGCCCCCGCCCGGCCACGGCCTGCGCGTTACTTACTGAATCGTTTGGTTCTGAGCCGCGGGGATGGCATCCAGGCCCGCGCCCATAGCACCCTCCAGAAGCGGCTCCCTACGACGCACTCCTGCACGGTTGTCCTGCCCTGGTGGAACGTAGGGAGGCAAAGGTGACGTGAAGGGCGCGCAGCATAGGGGAGGAGGCTGATGGAGGGTGAGGGAGTTCTCCCTGGGCTGCTCCTGTGAAAGGAAACCTCTGACAGGCGTAGGAAGAGGAGCTAGAGGCTGTAGTCAGACCCACTAAAGATTGGGAAGGCCTAGGGTGGGCGGGTGGGGCTCTGGCTCAGAGTTTGATCTGCTTCCTCTGCAGTCCATGAACTCAACCTGCGATCTGATGCCCTGTGCACTCTTCCTAAGTCTTTGCCTCCTCCAAATTTCACAACCTTGCAGGAGCCAAGACAAGGAAACCCCAGAGGGCCAGGTAGATCTTTCCCCTGAACCCTGGACATGAGGGTGACCATAAAGGACAGAGCCACTATCTGCAGGCCCTGGCCATCCAGTCCTTAAGTCCCATGGTCCATGCACCAGGAGCCCAGACCTCATGGAAAGGAGGCTGGTAGAAGTTGGCCACGCGGTCTCCCTTGCCTGTGTCCCTAGGGGAGGTGTGCTGCCCCTCTGCAGTAGCCCAGACGGGCATGCAGTTCCTTTCTCTCTCTCTCCAGCATACCAGGATCTTGAGAATCCCTTATCTGGTTCCACAGATCAGAGAGGCATTCTTCTGTGGACCCCTTTCCTGCCTTTCACCCCCTTACTCCTTCTGCAACCTTCTGAGATCTCAAAATAGGTCCTTGTTTTCTCTGAGAAGGCAGAGCCAAATTGCTAGCACCCCTCCCCCAAAAGGGCTGACACCCCTCAAGGTAGGAGTGAGAGAACTCAGGGCAGATCTAAAGGCAGTGGTAGGGAGGTAAGGCAGCTGGAGCCTTCCCTCCGGCCCTCCCTCCTGGAGGTATCTTGAGATTCTCTCTCCCCCCACCCCCGGACACCACTCAGCTCCTCCTGAAAACCCACACGGCCACATGTACCCAGACATCAACTCTGTTGTGCACACACATTATACCCACACACTGCATGTCTACACAAAGCCCTCATCTCACCCTCAGGTCCATCCCTCCACAGAACACCTCAACATCACCCCACCCTCATAGAAGCCCAGCTTAAATGTAGATGTGTGTACACTTGTAGGGCATCCTGATCATACACCCCCAAATCAAATATATCCCAAGACCTAAACCTTGCAAACTCACACCCATGCACACTGTATGGAAATATAAAATTCACCTCCTGTGCAATCTGCATCATCAATTCAGTGAGTCCTAGAAATGTGTACTAGCAACATCTCACATTACATTGGATCTTCTACCGGGTTGTGAGCTCAGGGGAGCAGGAGAGCGCTTCATCCCCACGTCCCAGTGCCCCAGAATCACCACCAGAGAAGATGTCACAGCTTCAGAATAAATGAGGACTTTCTACATGTTTCTGCATCCCTGCAATTGTTCCTCTCTCCTCTAAGAGTCATCTGGTTGGGAATTAATGAGAGTTTGCATGAAAAGGGGAGGAGGAACATAAAAAAACAAGATGTCCAACTTATATCTGTAGCAAAGGGTCAATTTCCCCATATATAAAGAGCTCTCACAAATCAATAAGAAAAATACCCAAGAGGAAAAAACTGAGTAAGAGATCATTAACAGAAAAATAATGCTAAACATTTGAAAAAGCTACCCATCTCATGCTTAACAGCAGCCATGCAAATTAAAACTGTCCTAAGACATAACTTCACTCATCAAATGGGCAAGATGAAGTTTAATGACACAACCTGTTGCAGTAGTGTAGGAAGCAGACAACTAGAAGCCTCTGAAAAATGTCAAAATCCCAAATATATATATCTTTATTATCCTTAAAACCTGTGCTCCAGTTACTGCTCACAAATGTGAGAAACGATATATTTTTGTGTACAAGGTTATTTACTGAAGCACTCTGTAATAGCAGCAGGTGGGAAACACCTAAACGCCCACTGATAGAAGAGATACATGCATAGCCACACTGATATGCTTACAGCCCTATACATGTTGGTTTAAGTCCATCTCCAAGATAAGTACTTGGGAAAGAACAAGGGACCAAACAGTGTATATAGTCCTTTTTATTTTTTGCTTTTATGTACAAAAAGGACAAAAAAAAAGCCACCATTTTATTTGCTTGGGTCTGCATTGCCAGAACTGTGAGAAGAGAAGTGGAACGAGAAATAACGTTCTCTCCTGCAGGGAAATGGAGGAGCTGCAGGCTGGGGACAGGGAGAGGAGACAGGGATTTCCTGAAAAATAAGGTACGCTTGCCTGACAGAGAGTGAAACCCACAGCTGCCAAGGGCACAATTCTATGAACTTTGACATACACCCATGTGAATCCTACTCCAATCACGATGTTGAACATTTCCTTCACCCTCCAAAATGAGATTTTTCAGCCTGTACCCATGCCTGTTATTTGAATTATGTACAACGTTGCCTACGTTTACTTTTCTGATAAATTTAAATGCAAAGATGAAATGAAAAGCTGTTTCTTTCTGTCATCTCCTTTTAGTCTCACAACCCAGGGAAGCAGATCTTTCTGCCCATCCTACAGAGGTAGGGCTGAACTTCATGGGGGAAAGAGATTTGTCTGAGTTCCCCCGGGGCAGGTCAGGGCTCAAGGCCATTAAAAACAACAGTTTTATTGAGGTATAATTTGCATATCCTATAATCTTCCCACTTAAAATGTACAACTCAATCATTTTTTAATATATTCACAGAGTGGGGGCCCCATCACCATAATCTAATCTCGGAACATTTTCACCAGAAAAGTAACGCCCTGTAGGGCCCTCCCTGGTGGCGCAGCGGGTTAAAGCACAGCACTAAGAAGCTTAAGCCACTTTCGCATGAGTTCAATTCCCGCCTGCCCCAAGGCGACCACATGGCGTGGCAGACCTCTCCTGAACGGCCAGCCTGCTGCTTCCCTCAGCAGTGTACTTCGTCAATCTGCCTGTTCTGCTCCCCGCTCTGTCTCTGGTGAATCCTCTCACCCTCCGCATCTCTGGCCTGTACCCCTGTTCTGTATGAATAAATAAATCTTAAAAAAAAAAAAGTAACCCCTTGTGCCTCTCAGCCGTCCCTCCTCATTCCTTACCACCATCCTCAATCCTAGACAACCACTAACCTACTTTCTGATTATTGATTATTCTGCACATCTCATAGCAAAGGTATCATACACTGTGTGGTCTTTGTGATAGGTTTATTTAGCATTATGTTTTGGGGGTTCATGTATGTTGAGTGTGTATCAACTTGATATCCCTTTTATTGCTTACTAATTTCCCATTGTACAGACAGGCCATAGTTCATTATTCATTTGTCAGTTGTTGGCTAGTTGGGTTATTTCTACTTTGGGAATATTATAACTACAGTGCTGCTGAAAAGAAAAAACAAGTTTTTTCACGGGTGTATATTTTCATGACTCTCCGATGTACAAATAGGAGTGGGACTGTGGGGTTATGTGGTAACTCTTGTGTTTTAACATTTCCAAAATCCCAAACTGTTGGCCCGAGTGGATGTAGTATTTTACATCCCCACCAGCACTGTAGGAGAGTTTGAATTTCTCTACATCCTCTCCGACCTTTACTACCTGTCTTTCTGATTAAA